ATCGTCAGTACCACTAGCAATAGGAGTAGTATCAGATAGTAGTAGTAGTAGTAGTAGTAGTAGTAGTAGTAGTAGTAGTAGTAGTAGTAGTAGTAGTAGTAGGGATTGGCTTCTTTACCGGGAGCAACACTCTCGGCAGTACTCTTCTCACCCCTGAGGGACTCACCCTTTCCTCAGGCTGTTCTACGAAAGCCGGTAAGGTGCAAGGTACAATGCTTGGTGGGCACGGTGTGTCCGACGTTTCTCCGGGGAGCGATCAATGATAGGCCGGGGGTACGAGTCACGTGACCTCGCAGCGGGGAGTTCGCGCAATGCATCACCAACCAACCAACCACCCAGACCACCCTCCCCAACCCCAACCTTTCTCCTTCCAACTTTTAGCAACCCTCCTCCCTATCTATCTATCTCTTTCTCTTTCCTTCTTTAACAGACCCACACACGCAAGCGCGAATACGAACCAACTCTTTCTCCCTTCTCCTTCCCGTCTCTTCTGCCAGCCCTTCTTCTTTCTACATCTCTCTACCACCCCTTTGGGTGACCCCTCGACACCCCGCAACACCATCGTGGCCGGGGCCAACTTTCCTACTGCATACCACCATCTCACTCTTCTTTCCCTTTTACAGACACCCTTCCACTGCTTCTATCTCTCATTCTCTCTTTTGGTAGCACGTTCCAACCCTCCCCCTCTCCCCACCAACACCACCACCACCGCCACCACCACCACGTACCACCACCGCAAACCTCGTCCACCCGCCACCATCACCACCATCACAACCACTACCACCATCACCACCGCTAGCATTGCCACGTTCCTGAACTCCTCTCACTCCACCGTATAGACACGCCAGCAGCACTAAACGGGATTGTTGCTACGTTGCCCTTGGCGACCAGCAAGTGTCGTCGTCGTCGTAGTCGTAGTCGTAGTCGTCGTTGTCGACGTCGGCGTCTTCGAGAAAGCATCCTCCTCCTCCAACTCCTCTACTTCTTCTTCTTCTTCTTCTTCTTCTTCATCCTACTCTACCACTCCCTACTCTTACTCTCACCCTTACCCTTACCGCGAGCTAAACACCACGTCTGATTTTCACCAGCGAACTTGCCTTTTCTTTACGTTTTCCCCCACAACAGTCGACCACTCTCTCTCAATCCTGACTTCTCAACGACTCCTGAAAATTCAGCCTAACCCTTTTTACACTTCAATATTTATTTGATTTATTTGTCAATTTTTGATTTTGAAAATTATCGATGTCTTCTTTACCACGTTTTTCCCAAACAGACCCATCTAGATACTGATTTCTCAAAGACTTCTGAAAAATATTCAAAATTGTTTGATATCATTGATAATGATTGTTTATTAAATTAAATAATAAACAATAACGATCACTATACATGCAAGAAATATTAGAGATTGCAATGCTGTAAATTGTGCATCTTTGCAATTTCTTTGATAAGTTTCGGTGAATATTTTTTATACTAAAAGTGAATAGATTTTAATGATTTTTATATTAAATTAAAGTATATTCTTTTATCTACACGTAGAACACAATATCGAGTTATAAATTTAGCATGTAAAGCTCAGAAAATGTCAGAGAATGCAATGCTGTAAATTGTGCATCTTTGCAATTTCTTTGAAAAGTTTCGGTCAATAATATTTATACTTTTAGCAAATAGATTTTAATGATTTTTATATTAAATTAAAGTACACACTTTTGGCTACACGTAGAGTACCTTTTCGCGGTATAAATCAATCTTCAAAGGTTCATAAAATGGCAAAGAAAAGTTTGCGGATCAGGCAATGTGAACAATGCCTAAAACCAGCATTGCATTCTCTGACATTTTCTGAACTTTACATGCTAAATTTATAACCCGATATGGTGTTCTACGCGTAGACAAAAGTGTGTACTTTAATTTAATATAAGTTTCATTAAAATCTATTCACTTTCTTTTCAACGTTGTTTAAATAGTAATTTGTTATTCTATAGAATATCAAAGTATTATTATGTTCGATGCCTAGGAAAAACTCTCTAAAAAGTCTTATTTCCGACTTCGTCTGAAGGCTCTTTACATTCATAGTAATGCCGAGGAATTACTAATAATGACTGATTTCCGGCTTTGACGGTAACATATATATATCTCATCTGTGTTTAACATAAATAGATAAAAAAAGAAATACAATAGAGACAGTAAGATCTTAGACGAAGAACATTTGTATGAAAATAAAGTAAGTCTGGCGAGTATAACGCGCATTGCGACGGGCTTGCAAAAATGAATACCTAATGACATTTAACTTTCGCGCTTGGTCGCTGACGTTACATCGGTATATGACAGGGGGATAGGCGTTTACCACGCATTCGTATGAAAATATACGGTAACCCTGTGACTCTTGGGAAATCATAGCACGTTACGAACTACGCCCAGTACTACTTTTTTCAAAGAAGAAGAAGAGACGAAGAAAAATTTCTATGCATCTGTCAGACGACTTAGCAATTCGTACGACATCCTCGTCCGGTAATATAAAGATATTACTATTAAAATAAAAAGAAAATCTATAGATACAAAGAAAAAATCACGTATTTTTTACGAAATAATTTATACTAAGTAATATATAATAATATTACGATTATCTTTTTAATTGAGAGAATAAATATTCATTTGGATCTCTTTTTAAAACAAATATTTGATGTTATTTTTGTTATTTATAATATTATGTTTCCTCAAATGTACGCGAATATTAATATCTTCGAGGTTATGCGGTTATTTCAAAATTATTTATCGAAAAAAAGATTATCTAATTTCGAGAAAGAGATATGAAAGTACCGAAAAACAAGTAACGTGGCAAACAGAAGTAAAACAAATATTTTATTCTCTTTGATTTCTTTTTTTTTCAAGTAATTCCTAACCTCAATATTTCTTAACCTGTTTTTATCTATTACTGTCTCTATAACCTTAAATAATAATATTATTCTCGTATTTTATTCTCACATCTAATACATTAACCCATTCTCGCGTACTTGCATAAACAAATGCATCTTGTTTTAACTATTAATCGACATATCTCATAAATTAAATATTTATTAAAAATAAGATGGCTTCAAATTAGAGAATAAAAATGGTTGTCGAAATACGTGTAGGTGGTCAAAATTTAGAGTTTTAAACGAAATGGTATGGGAAACGCGTAAGCATTTTTTATGGTTGTCCAGATCAAAACCATCCTGTTAACAGTTTAAGACCATTTGAGAGGTAAAATAAGTTCCTTTCTTCCTTTCTAGATTATTTTCTTCGAATAAAATATGGCCGATAGGACAGAAATGTGTTTTTTATGGTGCTCGATAGTCACCTTACGTTTCTCTCCCTCTTCCCCTTCAACCTTCCTCATCCATTTCTTTTTCTTTTTCTTCTTTTTTCTTTCTAAGATCGTTGAAATGATTCCAGGTGTGCTTCGTTGCTCGTTAAAATCCATTCTTACTTTCCAAGCCAGAGGAAACGTTTATTCTTGTTCTCTAAGTAAATAACGACGTCGTAAAACTGTTTCATTTTAACTTGTTCATATTTCCTTATTTAGAAATCTTGTTATTCCATTGGACGTTATCGTTTCATTAAATTTTTCTTTTATGTTTTTATTACATTTTTATTTACTTTTCAAAATCTGTCCTTTTACTTTTTTTTATTATATTTTTTATTTTACTAACGTAGTCACATATATATAAATGAATGATTTATTTAGTAGTTGATATTACTTTTTCGTTAAGTAATTAATTTTATGGACTTTCCTGCTTAATAGATCTGAAACAAATATTAAAATTAACGAGTTAATATATTATAATTTAATTTATTTAAATTAAATTTAATCTAATTATAATTTTTGTAATATAAAATAATATAAATATTAATAAAAATATATCAAATTGGGGCTCGAATTTTTCTGACAGCCATATTGAATGAAACCATATTTTTCTCTCTAACCTAATAAAATGTATGTCAATTTACAAACGTTAATATTACAAATGTTTCATATAATAAAATAAAATTAATTTGAAAAAATATAATCACATTAAAATACTTAATAATATTCTTTTACACAAATACATAAATAAAAATAATAAAAATGCAAATTAAAACAATTCAATAAACCTAACCTATATCCAGTACAATAATTAAATGAACAGAAAAAATATATTATATACATATAAAAAAAGAAATGACTACGAGAGATCTTAGTTAATTCCTCGAAGTTAAGAAGAAGAAAAAAGAATAAAAAGAAAAATAAAAAAAAGTGTCATCATCTTAAACACGATCGTCAACGATGTACACAGTGGCTGGCAATGTCCGGTGTAAATAAGCCTAGTGGCTATAACAACGTGGCAGAATGTCGTCCCTTCGACCAGTAACCTGCATTCTACGTGCCGTGCTCGTTACGACCCTGTTGGCCGTGCGATAACTTTCAGGTTACTGCCACCACTTACGCTCTGCCCATGAACGACACCATTCGGACCATTGACCACTGCTGCTGATTCCTAAATGAAACGCGTTTACAACAACCTCCTCATCATTATATCTAATCATTTAAATTATTATTATTTTCTACAACAAACATTAATTACCTATCATTTGTCTCGTCCTAAACACATTCATTTCAACATTTATTTATTTATTTATTATAAATCGACACCAGATACGATTACAGAAAACAATGATATTTATTTGGTTAACCTAAACAAAATTGTTGGCAAAATTTTTTGGTTTTCTTGACAATAAATCTTGGCAGGCAAGAAATATATATATCGGTCAGTTTTACTCACGTGTAAATTTAGAAATGAATATTAGAATCGGGGGGTCATAGATAGTTGCATAAAGCGTTTAATGTAAGTCCACGTGTGGTCTTTGGACGAGGTCGGGTTTAGGCGCGTGCGAGTGGGATTTATGGTCCCTATTATGACGTTGACGTATCGCCTTCGCACGAAGGGTCCTAAACCAAACCCAAGGCGGATCTAAGCGCCGTGTATCTAAGCCCAACAGCTAGCCACAGGTCGGTCGAGACCACTATGAGAATATTCCAATGTGATCCTCAACTGAACCATTATCGTGTCCCTGACCGATAAACGTCTAACTTTAACCCATGGATGACACTTGATCTATCAGAATTTTTATATCTTATACTTTAGACAATATTTTTCATTGGTTATTATTTATTTTCATTTCATATTCATTCATTGTGTATCAAAATAAAAAAAAACAACAAATCAAACAAATCATTTATCAATAATTCAAATGTATAATAAAATATCAGAAAAATACTTGGATGAAAAGAAAAATTCCTACTTTTATCTCTAAATTGAATTTAATCATAAGTTTAATTTAAAAAAAAAAAAAAAACAATTACAATCTATCGTGTAAAAATTATTGTTTCCTACATTCTATCGATCAAAAATTAACTACCAAATCCTAACTTCACAAAACCGAAAAAAATCAAATAATAAGCGAATAGAAAAACTAGAAAGTACATATATATACACACACTTATACATATATACATACATATATATATACCGGCTAGAAAATGAGAAAAAGAGAGGTTAGAATGGAAAAGTTGTGGGGGAGAAATTTAAGTGGCCCGTCGCGCCAAAGTTATTGGCATTTTCCGTTCTGTAATGGTTGTCCGGCTTTGCAGTAAAACCAGAATCGAAAAGGGATGAGAGAAAAAGGAAGGATGAGGGAGAGTGTAGAGTAGAATGGTGGGTGAGAGGGTTGAAGGGAGGAACGGGTAGGTGGGTGGTTGAAAGGGCTTACGTCACGGTCTCGCGTCGACGATTTAAAGGGCGTGCGAAGTCGATTTTACGCGTTGGACGATAGCAACACAATCCTGATTCAATTTATACTCTCTTTTTCTCTTTCTGTTAGGCGACTTCCGGCCGGTGCCACATATCTTACGAAATTGCACCACTCAGTCTGGTTTCCGGCAGAGATCTGTTTTGCGGACATTTTCTTTCTTCGTTCGATGAAATACGATCAATCGATTCGATTACTTTAATATATAAGATATGTATAGTGTGAGTCACAAAAGTATTCGTATAAGATTATTATAAATTTTAAACAATTTATATAATATATA